AATATGGCATCCGGTTCCTCGGAGCCAGTGGAGAATCTCAGTTGGCTTTTCCTCCCCCATAAATCAGGGACCAGTGCAGTGGGTAGTCCTCGGGGGATCAGCCAGGCCGTAACCTCATTCTGGAGATGAGGACACAGTGCCTGGCCTGCTGAGGTGTGCACTCAGGACCATGGACTAGAAGGGACAAGCTGACAGATGTCCCCAAGGTTGGCGCCCAGCTGGCTGGTGACAGAGCCAGGAGGCTCTGTGGGAAATTGAACCGTCTTTTGGACTCTGCTGGAGAGAGGGGGACGTGTGGGCTGTAGGTCACTCAGACCAGGCCACTGTTATGGGGAGGGCAGTGCAGGAGAGAACCCTGGGCTGGGTCCTGCCCTAGGTTCCTTTCACTTGCGTGTGATGGGACAGATCACACTGCCTCTTCTCTAAAACAAGGTGGTGGAAATCTGCCAGCTGATCTCTGCTAGAGGACCTGTGGTATCTCTGGGCACCCCTGACTAGTTCCATGGGGTGCCCAAGGCCTGCCCTAGCCAGAGTGACTCAGTGGGAGGCCTGCGGGGTCAGTCTGGGCCCAGCTGGCTTGGAGTGCCCACACTCAGGCATGCCAAGGCCTGGGAGGTGTCTTTGGTTATGATTGTGCAAGATAACAGATAGGGGGACCCAAATAGTTTAAAAAGCTCCTCTACCTCCTGTGCCCTCAAGTTGGAAAAAAAATGTTTCTCCTCTCAAACTCTCGTGTTTTGCTCTGTTCTCTCTGGGTCTTATCTCACTCTCAGGAAGGCGTGAGTGTCTGGTGTGTATACTGCAGCTTACAAAGTGTTTTCACAGCCTCCTTCTCGTTGGACCCTCCCAGAAAGCCTGAGTGCTAGGGAAGGCCCACCTTGTCCCTATTCTAGAGATGAAAAAACTGAGGCTCAGGAAGGGTGACTTGCCCAGGAGCATGATGTTGAGAGTTCATGAGCCCAAACTTAATGGGACCTGGAGAAAAAGAGGGATAAAGCCACTGAAGCAGCCTGGGACAGAGCCATGTTCCATCCAGCATCTCTCCATTCCTCAGACAGGAGACAAACCCTGGGAGGCTGACACCACCTCCTGTTTGCTCTCTGCTCCTGATGCCCCACCTTTCCCTCCTTTTCCCCACCCAAATGCTCTCTCACCTCCGGGCTTTGCCCACGCTGTTCCCTCTGCCTGGAAGACTCTGTTCTCCTAGCAAACTCACCCTCGGCCTTCAGATCTCAGCTCATTTATTCATCGATTTATCCCGCAGGTGTCCAGGGACACTCACACATGCTCGGCACTGTGCCAGGTGCTGGGAGTCCAATGGTAAACATGACAGATCCCTGTGTGGAACTTACAGGCTGAGATGGCCAAGGTCAAGTAAAGGAATGAACGTAAACAAAGACAAATGCAGGAAGCGTGGGAGGCAAGGGGGGCTACTCTGGCTAGTGAGGAGGGGACTTAAAAGGAGAGCAGCATTCCAGGCTGGGGGCACAGCAGGTACAAAGGCCCTGAGGCAGGAGACAGCCTGGCTGAGGAAATGAAAGGTGAGTGGCCAGGTATGCTCGTGGGGGGGAGTGTAGTGGGGAAGGAAGCAAGAAAGGAAGGGGAGAGGCGGGGGCTGTCACAAGGGCCAGATCTGGGGGTGTGGCAAGGACTTGGAGTTTGAACTGAGTTTTGAACAGAAGACAGACAGTATCTGATTTATATTCCTAGGATCCCTGGGCTGCTCTGGGAGGAATAGACGGGGGTGAGGTGGACCTGAGGAGGCAGCTGGAAGTTGGGAGTGAGGGGAAACCTTAGTTTCTGGGGTATCCTTGGGAAGATCTAACACAGGCCCCAGCTGGATGGGATGTGGGGGGGTAAGGGGAAGGAGGGGGAAGGACCCCTGGTTTGGGGCCTGAGCAAAGAAGGGGGGAAGAATGGGGTGAAAAAACCATGTTTGGGGGAAGGTCTCAAAAGTTCTGTTTTGCACATGTGGACTTTGAGGGGTGAGAGCAGGCAGGGGCTGTGGGGATCATAGGCTCAGGAGAGAGACGAGGGGCTGGAGGTGCAGCCCTGGGGTCATGAGCATGAAGGGGGTTTCCGGATTCATGGAATTGATGGGAAGACTTAGGCAGGTGTAGGTAGAAAGAAAGGGCAGCAAGGAGACTTCCTGTCTACAGGGGAGGACAGGAAGGGACACTGCATGGTGTGATGACCTCGATCTTTTTTTGACCTTGATCTTGATGGGGGTGGGGCAGGGGCCAGACTGGCTGGGCTGAGGGGAGCCAGGGAGGGAGGAAGTGGAGATGGGAGTGTAGGAGGGGGAGGAGGGGCAGCGAAATGAGGCCTCAGCTGTAGGGTATGGAAAGGCGGGGAAGGTTGAGGGCAGACAGGACGGCTCAGACTGGCTGGGCTGAGGGGAGCCAGGGAGGGAGGAAGTGGAGATGGGAGTGTAGGAGGGGTAGGAGGGGCAGCGAAATGAGGCCTCAGCTGTAGGGTATGGAAAGGCGGGGAAGGTTGAGGGCAGACAGGACGGCTTGGCGAGGGGAGCTGGGAGCGGGGCCGGGCAGGCGGCTTTGGCTGGGAGGAAGGACTTTCATGCCCAATGACCTGAGGGAGGGAGGGGGGACAGGTGCGGGAAGGCAGAGGAGGTTCCCGGCTTGGTGGGGGGAGGAGGCAGCATCTGATGGTTTCTCGGTGGAGTGAGTGGGGCTGAGGACAGGAGCAGCAGCTGGAGTGGCTGGGCAGATGGAGCCCCCCAGGGAGATCAGGAGTTTAGAGGGAGCTTCTGCTTGGTGGTGGGATGTTCCTCCAGAGGTTTCCAGCTCCCGGCAGCAGACCAGAGAAGTTCTGGTCACTAGCTCCCGGAAGCTTTCCTGGCCTTCCCACTTCTCGGTCAGGTCCCAGAACCTCAACTTGCTCTTTACCCCCAGACTTGCTGCAGGGTGGATGCTCGATGAATATTTATTAACTGACCGATCAGCATTCAAGCTGGCAGGAGAGGCAGAGCCTGGATGGAGCCCGGCCTCTTCTCCACAGTCCGTTCTTTGCCCTCGGCGGTACCACCTGCCAGCACCTGAGCCCGCTCCACCTCTCATTTAATGCAGGAGGTGGCCTTCCGTACCCTCATTTCACAGAAGAGGCCAACTGAGGCTTAGGGAGGCACTTTAGCTCCTTCCAAATACCAGCGTCCCCCACTACCCACCCAAAGAAGGGAGCGTTTAAGGGGAAGCCGTTGGCTTGCTGCTCTGGTCCTGCTGGGGTCCTGTGCCCAGAGCAGAGGTGGGCAGGGAATGGGCTGTGAGCAGCACAAGTGATGGAGGGGCCCAGCAGGGGTGCCCTTGGTTGCTTAGAAAGAATGAAAACAGCACACTTGGGGGACGGTACTGATACCTGGTGAAAGTATTTTTAATCTGATTATGGCTCCGCTGGGATGAAGTCAATCCTTAACAGTCCTCTGAGGCTCTTCAGTTGGCTCTGCCTCCTGTCTCCCACCAGGGTTCGGGTTACGTCCTCTTGTAGCACCCCCCAATATCTCTTTGTAGCACATCTCAGAATTTGAATTGCTTGATCGTGCAGTGCCTGGATCAGCCTCTGCCTCCCCTGCTGGACTGTGGATTCATGAAGACCTTGTCCAGTGTACCCCCAGCACCAAATGCAGGATCTGCACGTCGTAGGTGCCCAATAAATGTTTGTGGGAGGGGGTGGGGGGTGGCTGCCACAAAGTGGTTCTGGCCTGAGCCACAGTTGAAGCAGATTGGGGGTATTCTAGCCTTTTGTGGTAATCCCACCGCAGCATTGAGCATGTCATCTAATGCTCTCAGCATCCTGGGGTATTGTCACTACTATCACCAGGGGGCAGATGAGCAGGCAGGGGCTTGGGTGGACCAACTGACTTCGGCAGGGAAAAGGCAGTTGTGGGGGGACCCTCCTGTCTGTCTTGAATACCTGCCCCACAGCCATTTCCATGAAAGCGTCCAGGAGTCCAGCCTTGCTCTGTCACCACCTCCTCTCATTTCTCTCCCACCTCTACGTATTCTCTGATGCTTTTTTGATTTCCTTGCTTGTGGTCTTTGCAGTTTGTTGCCCTCCCCCCCTGGTGGTCGTGGCAGCTGCCCCATCCGGGAGGCGAAGCGGGGCTGAGAGCCTGTGTGCGCGGTCGGCCTCAGGCCGGCAGGGGGAGCCCGTGAGCCACAAACGCTGCTCGGGCGAGCAGCTCTGAGGGGGACACGGGGATTCTCTGCCTGGTGTCACCCCACAGGGAAGGCCAGGCCCAGGGGCAGGGCCAGAGCAGGGGGAACCGGCCTAGGTGGGCCCAGAGTGCATGAGTGGGTGGGGACCACGGGTGGCCTCCTAACCTCCCTGAGCCCGTTTCCTCATCTATAAAATGGCGACAATTCCAGCTGCTCCCTCGGTTCACTGGGAGAACCCCCAGCCGGGTGTCAATTCGTGGGGAGCCCTCAGCCAACGCTGGGGGGTGTTGAGCACAGGTGTCAGATCCACGGGCTCTGTAACTCTGTGAGGGGGACCTGTCCTGCCACTCGCAATAAGGACGGTAATGATGTAACCGATTGAGAATGTGACTGATAATGTAATGGGTCGGGTGCCGCCAACCTGCCTGGACTTAGCAGGTGTGAATAAACTTGAAATGATTCTGCAAGGGGCGTCTTAATCCCCATTCTATAAATGAAGAAATTAGGGATCCAGAGAGAGGTGGACACAGCCGGAAAGTGGCAGAGATGAATTCTGAACCGGGGTCTGTGGTGCCTGAGCAAGTCTCTCTGCCTCCCCGGGCCTCAGTTTCCCCTCCTGAACAAAGAGAGCTGGGCAAGAAGTTTTAGGGGCCTCTCAGGCTCTAACACCGAGGTCGTGTGCCTTCTCCCCCCCGCCCCCGCCCCCTGTGCTTTCCCACATGTCCGTGGGAAGGGTGGTCCCGGAGTCCCCTGGGGGTGGGAGTGCCCCTGGACTGCTCCTTTCTCCGCCTGCCCTGACGCTCCTCCTGTCCTCCCCACAACCCGCAGCTTTTCTGAAGGGCCTGAGCGACAAGCAGCGGGAAGAGCATTACTTCTGCCGGGACTTTGTCAGGCTGAAGAAGATCCCTACGTGGAAGGAGATGGCGAAAGGTAGGCTCTGCTCGGGGAGGCCCACCTGCTGCTATTCCGCGGGCAGCCTCTTCAGACACAGGGCTTGAGAAAACTACGCGGGCGAGAAGAATCCAGCAACATCTAGTGAGTGCTTGCTGTGTGTAGACACTCTGCAAGTGTTGCCTCATTTAATCATTGACACAGCCTAAGGCAAGTTCAGTTTTATCCCTTATGCCATTAGGAAGTGAGGGTATTCCTAGGCCAGACAAGCAACCTGCCCGTGACCACTTGGTGGTTGGGAGCTGGGATTCGAAGCTGTGGTGTGGTTGCTGATGGCCTTATGCCATTAGGAAGTGAGGGTATTCCTAGGCCAGACAAGCAACCTGCCCGTGACCACTTAGTGGTTGGGAGCTGGGATTCGAAGCTGTGGTGTGGTTGCTGATGGCGGGGCATGCTGGTGAGCTCCCAGGCCCCACAAATGGCAGGCCTGGTAACCCATAATCCTGGGTAAGTCTCTTGTCCCACCTAAGCCTCAGTTTCCACATCTGTAAAATGGCGATGGATGGCGTTAATATCTACCTGATCATAGCATTGTTGCAAAGATTCAGGGAGGCCTCGTGTGGTATGGGCACACGGTAGGCGCTTACTCAAGTGTGGGCTGTCATTAATAGTATCAACCACCATCACCCTGCAGGCCACCTCTGGAGGTGGAGGGAGGTTGATGGGGGAGGGCTTGGCCCATGGGCACTGGCTGGATCACTCTGCAGTGGGGGGTCTCTCTGCAACCCCCTGGCCTCTCCTTGTTCCAGGGGTGGCCGTGAAGGTGGAGGAGTCCGCGTACAAGAAGGACAAGCAGCTCAATGAGAAGATCTCCCTGTTCCGTGGCGATATCACCAAGCTGGAGGTGGATGCCATCGTCAACGCCGGTGAGTGCTGGCCTGAGCCAGAGCCCCGGGTGACTGCCTCGCTGCCTTTGCACTGGTCTGCTGTGCCCGGCATGGGTGGACGCCACCTGGCTCCGGCGAGCCTCGGGTCTCCGGGCGAGGACGGCCTGCTGGCGCCATGGGAGCCCAGAGTGTCAGCCGCTTGGGCTCCTCTTCCCTTGAAACCCTGCCCCGCTGTGTTGGGGGCACCTTTCTGGCTGAGCTGCCTCGCAGCTCCGAGACCCATTAGTGTTCAGGGAACGGGGAGAGCTCAGCTGGAACTGTGCCCGGCTGCCCAGCCAAGGAGGCGGGGCACGGGGTGGTCTGACCTCAGGGGCCGCAGGCGCCCTGAGCACCGCTTTCCTCCCTCTGCTTTTGGCCACCCTGTTCCCCTTCAGACCTGGGCAGGGGAGGGGCTTGTTGGGGGAACAGTGGGGGCAGGGAAGCCGCCTGCACCCCCCTGGCAGCTCTCCAGCGCCTGGAAATGGGAGGCGCTCAGCTTCCTGCGTCCGGCTCTTGCTGGCTTGGCAGTTTATGATGATGAGGACTGAGCCGTCTGCTGCTGTAGGGGCGGAGGAGGGTGGCTGCTCCTCTGCCCAGGAAAGGACTTTGGAGTGCTCAGGGGTGGGGCGGCAAGAGCCGGTGAAGGCCGGCAGGTGTGCAGGGGGTTCGCGGAACAAGGTTGAGGAAGGCTGAACCCAGCCCTCGCTCGTTGGTCACCAGACATCCTCCCCAAGCATCGGAGGAAGAAGGGGCGCCCGTCTTAGACCCTGGGAACATAGGGGGCGGATTCTCTTGTCTCAGACTCTAGCAGGCAGGGAAAACCATGCCGTGCCAGCCCCTCCCCACCTGTGCACCCCAGGAGCTTCTGGAGTCTGCCTTGTCTGCCTTTGGGCTTGCAGCGATTTTGTCTGATCCCAGCGCTGGCAAGGGAGTGGATTCCCCCAGTGACTCCAGGATGTGGCAGTGTGATGCTGTCAGTGTCCCTGGTGATCTCCTTAAGTGGCCACTCAGCCTGCCCGGGGCCTGCTTGTTTGTGGTCTGGACTGTGTATCCGGCATTGGTGTTGCTCTG